AGTTTGGAGCAGCATCTCCCACATGGGGCAGTTAGAATGCGCAACTTGTAGTCCACACAGTGGTGCAGTGTAGACAAGCCCTGTGTATGTTCAATTTGCTCACTTCGTCACTTTTTTTTTTTTTTACCATACCTGCAATTTAAGGCTGGCTGGTGCCAATAAGCGCACATTGAAAATTATACACTAAGGTGCTGTCTACATTAAGGCAATTTGCATCAGTGTAACTACATCAGTGACACAAACCACTGTGGTAGATGCACTTCACTGGTATAAAATGGGGTTTACACTTTAACGGTGCATGCTTAATGAGTGTACACTTAAAAAATCCTGCAGCCTTGCACAGCTCAGCTCTCTAGACGTGAACACTCAGAGTTGGCAGAATTTTGTAGCGTGCATTGGCAGCAGCCCAAAAGGGGAAAGTGTTATTTTCATTCCCACAGAACTTAAAAAACTGCTGAAGGTTTTTGCGCAAACTTTTAACAACAATTAAAAATCACTCTTAGGTAGAAACCAAGTATAGGAAATTTCAGCCCAGAAAAATATTTCATAATGCTAACAATAAATGTGTAAAAGCAAAGGGTTATAAAGGAAACTGTTTGGTGACCTTAACTTTGTGGATGCTCCCAGGTATTAATAACATTTGAATTACTTTACAGTTCAGGTAACACATTACAAGCTCTTGCAGGGAAGCACAATAAGTTATGTGAATTGTAACGAAAAGGGCAGCTGAATGAAGTAATAAGTTAGAGAGAACCAATGCTTGTCAGTGTCCTCCGAGCGGCCCTGAATAGTAATTCTTTGTTCTAATAGCTCAACAAAGAACACAGCAGCATTGGCTTCTGAAGTAGTCTCCGTGCAATGTTCTGAGTCTTTACTCCATTTACATTGCCAGCAATGGAAAGATAGAAAATTGCTGTCTCAGCTGCTGGGGTGGGTATCATTTCAGAATGATCCAGAAATGGAGGAAGTGGAGTGATCCTGGTTTTGAATCGGGGAAAGGGATGACAATCTGGAAAAAGCTGATCCTGCAGGGTAAAGTGCCAGAATATCAGCCACCTTTCTAATTGCTGGTAACCAGCCTTTGAGGCAACGTCCCCTTCTCCACCTCTTTCCACCAAAGCCCTTTCAAGGTCACTCACTCCTCTCTCCCCAGTCCCCCCATCGCTCACTTGATCATCTCCACCTCTCTCCCCCTGCTCAGCTGGGCTCTTTCTGCTCTGGTGCTGGGACCAGAGCTGCTACAGCCTGACAAGGAGGCTGACTGCGGGGCAGGGGGAGATGCTGGGTCATTAACACTTTTGGTCCCCTTTTTCGATAGGACTTTCCGGTTGAAAATCAGACACCAGGCAACCCTAGCCCAGCACATAGAGAAAGAAAAAACATTTTGGAAAGGAGCTTCTCAGAGCAGACTATCTAGGAATGTGACAGAACACCTCTTACACAGCAGGGAAGTATTTCCTAAGAGGAATCAGCTCCATCTGACATTGATGATATTGGTTACAATACAGGATAGTCATAGAAAAATTGGCTGAAGGTTTTTGTTATGTTTTGTTTTGTTCTTGCCTTTGGAAATCTTTCTAGTAGCAGTGTACAGCCCTGATGTAATGTGTGGGTTTGCTGTGCAACTCATTGCCAGCTGCTAATGGCAACTTTCTCTCTCAGATATTGTGGATCAGAGCAAAGAGCAGGTGTTCACAATGTGCATAGATAATTTGGCACCTCTCTGTTAATGAGCAAAGATAATGGAAGACGGATGGAGCTGGCAAAAAAATTGAATCATGTCAGCCCTTGTTTTATTTTAGGATCATTTCAGAAAACGTGAGCATCACTCAAGATTGGAAAACCTCTCTCATTCCCGTTGACTCTTTAGTATATCAGGTCCTCCCCTTACTTTAATCAGGATGGTTCAGTGGCCAACCTTGGGTTCTGCTCTCACCTGGGCTATTGACTCTCTGTGTGATCTTGCTCAAATCACTTCACCTCTTTATGCTTCAAATTCCCAACCTGGAAAATGGGACAATGATGTTTACCCAACTAGTTAAAAAGTTTTGAGAGCTACAGACGAAAAGTGCTAATGAAGTATTATTAAAGTCCTGGAAACCACACTTCACTTAGTGGATTTCATATATTTGTATTCCAGAGCATTTTATGAATTAACACAAT